ACCACAGCTATATATATATGAATCAGGAAAAACAGAAGACACAAATAATCAATTTCAAAAATTAAAGAGGCTACATCACTACAGATCCTACACACATCAAAAGGCCACTTGGGGAATATACAAACAACTTTATGCCAACAAATAGAATAGGAGAGAATATTTCCCAGCTCTTTTATAAAGCGAGCATTATCAACAACCAGAGGCACTATGAGAATCAAAAACTTGGTGCCAGTGCTTTGATTTATGCTAATGTGCCAGCATTTACCCACTGTATTATTCATATTTTTTATTTTCTGTGTTTTATGATGTTTGACATCTTTGAAGGCCTTCCTGGTGGGGAGAGATTACCCTTCCTGGAGCTAGTTAACTCCTAGAGATAGTAAACAACTTGTTGGTAAGTCCACCTTTCATATACAAACCAACCAATCTCAAGTCCATACCCTTAACCACCTCTTTTATCTAATTCTCACACACCAAGCCAATATTTCCCCTGCCCTAAATCACCTAGGGCCTGGTACAAGACAGCTAGAGACCACCTCTGTAACCCACAGCCTGCCAGCGCTGTTCAAAGTAGCTAATCCTAAGTGGCTCCCCCCTGCCCAGCCTTGCCTTTCCAACAGAAGCAAGCCTCATTAAAGGCTCTGGTCTAGGCTTTCCCCACATTTCTTTCTGCCTTCTGACCAAACCAGTTGCTTCCCCATGTGGCCCTGTGTGACATGACATGCCCTCTCAGGAATGTCATTACTCAGTCACCTACATAAACTAAAAATCCATGAGTACAAATGAAAAATCCACCCATTTTGCCCCATTAGTGTGAAATGAACACAGTTAAAAAGACCAGTGAAGTGTTGTTATTAACAAAAAATAGTTTTGACTTTATGGACTGCCCCATAAGGATCTCCAGTACACAAAGTCCATGAATCACACTTTGGGAACTACTAGTTTAGGCCTTTCTTCTTGTTTTTCATCTGTTTCTTTAACATTTTAATCCTCTATCTTCTTTTGTTATAGCCTCCTCTATATAGGCATTCTTAAATCTAACCAAAATTTAAAAAGGAAATCATTGTCTAATATTTATCTTTCTCTTAGTTTTCATTCTCTTTCCTTCCTTTTCCTACGCAATGCCTTATACTTATTTCCTGTGCTCAGTCTCATATCTCATTCTCACTATGAATCATCCAATTTCAAAATCCATATACCTTGAACCAAAGTGAATTTCAATATCACTTATTTTCAATAAATTTTTTTCCAATAAATCTCCATGTTTCATATCATAGCGCTGAGATTCCTGATATCTACCCAGCTTGACTTAGGTGAAAAACACTAATTCATTCTCCTCCTGTTTCCCTGAGTGCATTTTCATATCTTGGTTGCTCTTCTTCTCTGTATCTACTTTGCCTAGGAAAATAAGTATTTGTTAAGTAAATGGATTTTATTTCAATAGGCTGTCATTAATATCCTTAAAGGATCTTTCTTCATTCTCAGGCTTGTCTTTATAAAAGTTCTTGAAGATATAATAATCTGATCTATTCTGAAGTTGTGATTTGCTTGTTTTATGTGTCTTTCAAATTGACGTTTTCAAGACATGCATCCCTGTGTTTCTTGCAGCATTATTTACAATAACCAAGATATGGAAGCAACCTAAGTGTCTGTCTATAGATGAATGGTTAAAGATGTACTCATATACAATGGAATATTACTCAGCCATAAGAAAGAATGAAGTCTTTCCATTTGCAACAACATGGATGGACCTAGAAGGTATTACATTAAGTGAAATAAGTCAGACAGAGAAAGATTAATACCTTGTATTTCACTTATATGTGGAATCTAAAAAAATAATACAAACAAAAAAGAAATGGGCTTATAAATACAGAGAATAAACTGGTGATTGCCATAGGGGAGGGAAGTAGGGGGATGGGCAAAATAGGTGAAGGGGATAAAGAGGGACAAACTTCCAATTATAAAATTAATAAATCACAGAGATGAAAAGTACAGCATAGGGAATATAGTCAATAATATTGTAACAATTGTGTTTGGTGACAGATGGTAACCACACTTACCACAGCATTTTGCAATGTATATAAATTGTCAAATGACTGTTATACACCTGAAACCAATATAATATTGTGTATCAACTATACTTCAATTAAGAAAATAGATGTTTTCAGCTTATTTCTCCCACATGAACTCTAGTGGCATATACTTATCTGCCAACAGCACTATAATAGTCAGTTGTCTCTCCTTTTGGTTACTGATATGTCAAACATACTGTTATCTTGACTTTATCCTTATTTGTTTCTATATCCTTTTGTTCCCTCCTCAGTCCCTTATATATCAGGTTGATTCCATCATGTCTGCTGTACTTTCTTAATGATCTCTCCACAATTTGTATTACTTTATTTCACTTTGTGAAATATCTGTACATCCTCTCATATTCTCAATTGACACTGTCATCTTCCAAAATGAGAGCTATATATTATTTCAGGTGTAGACTGCTATAATCAATATTTGGATCTGCCATTTTTCCCCAGTTCTTAAGTTAGTTTAGTTTAGTTCTTTAGCATATCAATATGCTAAAATGATACCACTTATTATATAAAATTTAAATCCCTTCTTTTTCAAGGGCTGACAGAATATTATCCCATCTGATGATTCCAAATGTATTTCTCTTTGTGGCTGAGAACAATTGCTAATCTCTATTAGTTCTAGTCTCCCAAATGTACTCCATCCAGCTGATGTTTTCCTCAAAACTGGACATTTCATTATATATACAGCTGCTATATGCCCATATGAATACTTGTGAAATGAACCCTAATTATAAGTATAGTAGTTCACACAAGACCACCCTTAATTACTTCTGACACTGAATAAATTTGGGGGACCCAATACTACCTCTAGGATCAATTTGCTATATAGGACTCATAAACTGACTGAAAATTGCAATATTCAAAGTTATGGTTTGTTGCAAATGAAGAATATACATTAAAATTAGCCAAGGAAGGAAAGTACCAGACATGGAGCTTTTAGTACTAGCCTTCTCTCTGTGGAGTCATGGACAGTATTACTTTCCTGGTGTGGCAGTACATACAGAATATTGCCAATGAGGGAAACTTCACACAAGTCTTGTGTCCAGTTTATGTTGGGGTTCCATCACGTAGGCATGATTGACTGCCCACATGATTGATTGCAGTTTCCAGCCCCTTAAGAGGTCAAGCTGATACTGTGTGACACAAAGCCCCTATCCTATATCACATAGTTGATGTGGCTCAAAGACCTCACCCTAAATCATATTGTTATTTTCTGGCTGGTCAAAGGCTCCCAGGAAAATACACTACTGTCAGGCATGACATTTCAGGGCTTAGAGATTACCTCTGAAAGTCAAAGACAAATGTCAGACCTCTCTTTGGCAATGTTATATTCCTTAACACACAGTACTACATATCCTTTAGTTAGAAGATCAAGCTTCACTTCCTCCATGATATGTTACTTGACAACTCCAAACCATGACAAACTTTTTTTTTCTGTATATTCAAAAGGTTTCAAAGAAGATAATCAATAAAATATTGACTTCCAGGCGCATAAGTTTTATCTGGGAAGGCAGTATTATCAAATTTGAACATTTTACATATAATACCCATACTAAAATAACATGTTATTGAAAGATTTCTTCAAATGGATGGCCCTGACTATAGTTATATTCTACTTTTTTCAGACAAATTTGAAGGTTAGAAAGAATATGTGAAGACTTTTGGATAAATTGGATAGCATGTCCCTGAAGGTGGCTCTCAGGAAAGCAATGTAACTCCAGTTACTAATATTGATTAGTTTTGTGTGTTCTAGAACTGTACATAAATGAAACTGTGCAATATGTACTCTTGCTTTCTATAAAAGTGTTTGAGAGTCAACCCTTTTCTCAGGTTTTTTACTTTTTATTGCTGAGTAGTATCCCATTGTATAAATACATGACACATCACCTGTTCACCTTTTGATGGATAATTGGGCAGTTTTGTTTAGGGCTATTATAAAATGCAAGTCATTAGTAAGATGAATCCATCTTCATAATTGTGCCACCAGATATGGGTGGTAGTAAGGTAACAATAGTAAAATATAACCATACACATACATCGAAGAATCCAGTCCTTCACAGCCCTGATAGCAGAGTTAAGGTATGTTACTGCATTGGGAGGAAAACTTGAAACCATCCTTCCCTAAAACTGAAAGAGTAGTTCAGCAAATTGAAAGAAAATGTTAGAGCTGGTGGTCAGGAGAATTTACTTATTGATCATCTAAATGGAAGAATAAATCGATGATAGCAGCAATCAAAATATACAATTATATTCATGTTGCAAGTATATTTTGTCCTCTTGTTTATTGTATAAATCCTAATGGAAATATGTTTTCCTAATTCTTCCCTTTCAAGGGAAAATAAATCACAGTTATGTGGAGAGTTAGGGCCTCTACTATAGACTCATGTTTCTGTCAACACTAAGAAATGAATGCTTAAGAAAGTTCATTTGCCATTGATGGGCTAAATACAACTGAGGATGAAACAAGTGGAAGCATCCTATCACACATTTGGGCATGAGAAAATATATAGGCTTTTCATTACCATCTGAACATTTTCCTTGCTTACTGTTTAGTACCCTTGATAGGCTCACTACATTATCTCTGAAAGTGTGCTTTCTAAGAACAACCCCAACTTCTACCATCATTTGTCTTTGTTTGCTTGTCCTTATGTTTATTACACCTGCTCGGTGTAGCTTGTATTTATAACATGCCAAAGATATGTGTGTTCCTTTGCTTATGCCAACTTTTCCTCATATTAACAGTGTCGCTGGATTTGTGTTTATGTTCTATGCATTTTCCCTACCAAACATTAATTTATTTTTACCTTTCTGTAGGCCACAATAGTGAGACAGTCCCACCATGGGTTGTTTCTATATACATCCAATCTATAATGTTTACTTGAAGACTTACAGTATTAATATATTCTTTTCTAGAAGAAGATGGGAAAGCTGAAGATGTTTTAGTGAAGTTCAAAGAATACCAAGACAGACATTCTAGATCAGTCATATTCATCAACCACAAAAAACTAATTAAGGAGAGAAGTAATATTTTTGGGAAAACAATTATGGTAGGAAAAAACCATATTATTTCAAAAACAATACCATGTGAATATAAACCTGATGGTAAGGTTTTTAAAAATATTTCAGAATTAGTCAGTAGAAATATAAGTTCTGTAAGAGAGAAGTTTGGTGAAAGCAATGGATGGGAGAAATCACTCCTCAATACTAAGCATGAGAAAATTCATACTGCAGTGAATCTCTATAAACAGACAGAAAGGAGTCTGAGTGGTAAACAAGAGCTTATTCAACAGCAGAAAGTTCAATCTCCAGAGCAATCATATGAACATAATGAATGTGAAAAATCCTTCCTTATGAAAGGAATGTTATTTACACATACTAGAGGTCACAGAGGAGAAAGACCCTTTCAGTACAATAAAGACAGAATAACCTTCATTGAAAAGTCAAATCTCAATGTCCATCCACAAACTCTAATGGAGAAAAAGCCCCATGCATACAGCAAATTTGGGAAATTCCTCTGCAGGAAGCCTATTTTTATCATGCATCAGAGATCACAAACAGAAGAGAAACCCTTTCAGTGTCCTTACTGTGGGAATAGCTTTAGAAGGAAGTCATATCTCATTGAACATCAGCGAATTCACACAGGTGAGAAACCTTACGTTTGCAATCAATGTGGAAAAGCCTTCCGCCAAAAGACAGCCCTCACTCTTCATGAGAAAACACATATAGAGGGGAAACCTTACATTTGTATGGATTGTGGGAAGTCCTTCCGCCAGAAGGCAACCCTTACTAGACATCACAAAACACATACTGGGGAGAAAGCCTATGAATGTACTCAGTGTGGAAGTGCTTTTAGAAAAAAGTCGTACCTTATTGATCATCAGAGAACTCACACAGGAGAAAAACCATATCAATGTAATGAATGTGGGAAGGCATTTATCCAGAAGACAACCCTCACTGTACATCAGAGAACTCATACAGGAGAGAAACCCTATATTTGCAATGAATGTGGAAAATCCTTCTGCCAAAAGACAACCCTCACTCTCCATCAAAGAATTCATACAGGGGAAAAACCCTATATTTGTAATGAATGTGGGAAGTCCTTCCGCCAGAAGGCAATCCTCACTGTTCATCAGAGAATACATACAGGAGAGAAATCCAATGGTTGTTCTCAGTGTGGGAAAGCCTTTAGTAGGAAATCAAACCTCATTCGTCATCAGAAAACTCACACAGGAGAGAAACCATATGAATGTATGGAATGTGGGAAGTTCTTCAGTTGTAAGTCAAACCTCATTGTCCATCAGAAAATTCACAAGGTAGAAACCATGGGAATTAAGTAAAAAATGTGACTTTTTTGTAAAAAATTTAAAAGTCATAGTGAACCCTGTACATTATGTTGCTTGCAATTGTAATATTCAAGAGCTTAAGATACTATATCACATATTTACCTGTTTCCTAGCCTATAAAACACAAAAAAAAATAATTAGTAGGCAAATTAAATGACAAAAGTCATTGAAAATGTAAGCCTAAGTTTTTCATTAGTAGATTCAGCAGACATAACATCTGTTAAAATTGCTATAAACATTTAAAATTGCTTATTTTAATACATATCTTATTCTGAACAGTTGGCCAACTGGCCACAGTGAGCAGAAGTGCTTTAAAAGAAAGGAGGTGTGAACTGCATTTCTCATTGAAAATATGGAATAAAAATTAGTGGTCACCTCTGCAAAGTTAAGCACAGTTCTGACTTCTAATATTATAAATATATAAATTGGATTCTACATCATGTATTATATGGCTTGTTTCATTCATCACTGTTTCTAAACCTCATCATCAGTGCATGTGGCAGTTTATTTTCATTCTGTATAGAATTCCATTATATAATTATATTACAATCTACTCAATCTACTGTCAATGGACTTTTTCATTATATGTGGCTTAGGTCATAATAAATAGTGTTTCTGTGAACATATCTTTCAGTGTACACACATTCATTTCTCTTAGGAGAAATGTATATACTTAAGAATGGAATTGATGGGTCCTTTATGTTCAGTCAACTTTGGTAGATACTACCAAACTCAGAACTTACAGAGCATGAGACAATTCACTCAGAAGGAAAATGTTTTCAATATGGTGATGGTTCAAATCAGAGAATTCATGCCTGAGGGAAACTCTATGAATGTTGTCAAAACTGGGAATCCAAATATAATGTGTGTATAAAGGCTTTTACCCACAGCCCAAGTCTTATTTTAATACCAGACAAATGTAATAAATATGAGATTGTTTTTAGCCAATGGTGACTTATTTGAAATAAAAAAAAATGCCTATTAGAGAAAGCGAGGTACCTAGCGTCTTCCTCGCTCAATGTTAAGAGAATTCTAACTGAAGAAAAATCCTAGGAGTATAATGAAGGGGGTAGGGGATAACTTTTGCCCTGGCCTATATCTTTCTGGTAATATAAAAAGTGATGAATATGAGAAAGCTTTCTGCCATAGCTGAATTCCTACATACCACCACAGAATTAACATTGGATGGGAACTCTTTAAATGAAATAAGAATGACTGTAACCATAGCTCATTCCTTATATGACATCAATGAATACATACTAAAGGAAGATTAAAACAGGAACAGATGAGGCTTGGAACTCTAAATATAGGGAAAGTTGTTTCCATGGAAGACATCCAATCATAATGAGATCATAACGATCCAGAGTCTGTGGGCACCCTGATCAATTGCCACAACTAAGCTCCTAGCCATCATCCAGTATCATCTGCCAACTATATGAATGAGCCATCTGGGACATCCAGCCAAATCTTCAGATGACTGTAGCCCCTGCTGACATTGAACTGGAACTAATGAGACCCCAAACAAACTGCTCAGCTAAGGCCCTCTCAAACTCCTGACCACAAAATGATTATATTTTTCCAAATTAAATTTGATAAAAAGGGAAAATATTAGTATCTATTTATCTTATAAAAATAAGATACAGATATTTGGGTTCCTGATTCAATGATCAAAGGTATGGTGACTACTCGGTGATTTCGGCATAAACAAACACTGGTCCTGAAATACAGTTGAAGATTTGGTTTTATGTCTTGTTTACAATTATATACCTAAATAACAATGATGATTCATATATGTATCTCATTTTCTGGCAGTAAAGTATACTTATCAACTTGGTTAGTTTATCTATGCAAATGCACACTTTTCAATTTTGCAAAAAAAAAAAGAAAATAGTTCCAAAAGACCTGCTGTGGGTAATGCAGAGGGAAGCAAGTTTATCTTCAATAGAGCCTCCGCAGTCATTTCCATGAGGTTCCTGAACTAAGATGCAGAGAGAAATAAAAAATGGAATCTAATGCAGATAAGTACAGCCATGTTCTTGTAGGAGGTACTTTTAAATGCTTTGAAGAAGTTTAAATGAATTTTTGCTTTCTAACAGCTGTTCATAAGAAGCTGCTTCTCAGGAAAATTAGTTCTAATAATTTATAATTTGGTAAGAAACAGGATTGGGCTATATTCCAGACTCCTGTATGAAGATTTCTTTTAAGAAGTTGGGGATGTTCTTTCTAATTAATTTTTATGGATTTTTATTTTGTAAATGAATATATGAAATGAAGACTTTGCATCTAAATAATCTAATGGTCAGTGAAATTTGGGTAGCTCTGGGGAGTTAACATGGTTTTGGAATCGAAGTCTGCTTACTCCTAAATATATGCAACAGAATAGGAATTAATTTGCAAATTCATATTTTATAGACCTAACTGCAATGCAATGTCATTAGATGAAAAATAATTAACATGTATAAAGATTTCATCAGTTCAAAAGGACTAACAAGACTCCACAAAGCACATCCATGTAATGCTTTCATTTAAAAGCAAAGGATGTTCTTCACCAAGAGGAAGAAAGGGTAGGTAAGCGTTGGTGGGGGTGTCTGTCTGAGAATCATCCTCGTGCAAGCTCCCTAGTGTCTTCATTCTGTCTCCAGGTTAAGCCACTAAGATCTGTGTGATCTTTTCTTTGGGAGAGCTCAAGGCAGAAGTTCCCAGCACGGGCTTTTATGGCCCTCTGTTCACTGGTTACATAGTCAAGCTGGGCTATCTAATCATTTATGTGATTAAGCATACTGGCTCTGGGAGTCTCCAGGGGAGTTTTGGACTTTAAACTCATATATCTCTGCTCTATCAAGAGCCAAAGCCAGACATCCAAGCATCATGAAGATAATGTCAGAGCTTTTCCAGTCCAACTGTAAGTCAACTCCGTCTAATAAATATGGTTCCTACATCTTCTATGTATTTTCTTATAATGTATATATGTAAGCAAGAATGTTGCCTCACTTCCTGTCTCCCCAGTATCAGACTGTACACAGGGTATTTCAAACCTGAAACTTTCTCACCAGGTAATGCTTGAATCATTCCACTTAATTTGTGGTCCAGCAATAGAATCAGGCTTGCCATGCTCTGTCACATCGGTAATATGCAACAGCAAAATATACAAACATCAACACTATAATCTAAAATTAATCTGGGATGGTCTACCATTGTAGATATCCATCAGTTTATAATCTGGGGTTTTTCAAAACACTAGATGTGTGATGATTCAAAGCACTGATAAGGATGTAGAACAACTGGAACTCTCATGCATTGCTAATGGGAAGGTAAAATGGTGAAGGCACTCTGAAAAACAATCTCACAGTTTCTTAAAAAGTTTAACATACTTCCCGGGTGACCCAACAGTCCCACTTAAAGATATTTATTCTAGAGAAATGGGAAGTTAATCACAAAAATCTATATGTCAGTGTCTATAGTATTATTTATAATCACTAAAACTAGAAATAGCCCAAATGTTCTTCAGTGGCTAAATGCGTACACCGTGGTATACCCACACAATTGAATACTAAGCAATAAAAACAATGATACATGCAACAATATGGATGAATCTCACATACATTATCCTAAAGGAAAGAAACCAGTCATCAAAATTTATAGTATGATTTGATTTCTATGCCATTTTGGAAAAAGTAAAAATACAAGGACAGAGAATATATCAGTGATATCCAGGGGCTAGGTAGGGGTAGGGGAGACCCTGAATAGAAAGGGTACTTGAGGGAATTCTTTGAGGTGCTGGAATTGTTTTGTATACTCTTTGGGGTCATAAGTATAAAAATCTATGCAAGTGTAAAAACAGAGAACTGTATACACACAAAAAAGTAGTGAATTAGAGTAGTGACATCAGCAAGAGGTTGGAATAAGAATTTCCAGCACTCATCCTCTCATAGAAACATCAGTTTGAATGATTATCCACACAAATAAAAGTACGAACTAATAAATTAAGGTAGGAGATTACAGCATTTGGAAGGAGGATGGAAATAAGACACTTTGAAGAGGATAAAAAAGAATGACTTCACATTACCTGCATCACTGCTTCCCCAAGCTCACACAGTGATGCATGGAGAGAGATATCTTCTGTATGAGGAAAGAGTAATAAACTGAGCACCCTTTTCCAGACACCCTAGTACTAGACTCCCCCAGTGGACCCAAGCTCCAGGCCTGTCTCAGTGCCAGGACAGCCCCTGGAACCCAGGCTCCAGGTCCACCACTATTACTCAGGATTCAGTAATACTTAGTCTGCCCCTGTGGACGCAGACACCAGGCTCTAGGCTAGCCACCAAGACAGGCTTCAAACACACCCTCTCACCATGTTGGCCCCCACAAACACAGGTACCAGCCTGGCACCCATGAACCTAGGCTCCAGGCCCACCCCCACAGTCCCAAGCATAAGGCCTACCTCCACAGACCTACCATCAGGCTTGTCCAAATGAATATCCAGGGGCTAGGTAGGGGTAGGGGAGACCCTGAATAGAAAGGGTACTTGAGGGAATTCTTTGAGGTGCTGGAATTGTTTTGTATACTCTTTGGGGTCATAAGTATAAAAATCTATGCAAGTGTAAAAACAGAGAACTGTATACACACAAAAAAGTAGTGAATTAGAGTAGTGACATCAGCAAGAGGTTGGAATAAGAATTTCCAGCACTCATCCTCTCATAGAAACATCAGTTTGAATGATTATCCACACAAATAAAAGTACGAACTAATAAATTAAGGTAGGAGATTACAGCATTTGGAAGGAGGATGGAAATAAGACACTTTGAAGAGGATAAAAAAGAATGACTTCACATTACCTGCATCACTGCTTCCCCAAGCTCACACAGTGATGCATGGAGAGAGATATCTTCTGTATGAGGAAAGAGTAATAAACTGAGCACCCTTTTCCAGACACCCTAGTACTAGACTCCCCCAGTGGACCCAAGCTCCAGGCCTGTCTCAGTGCCAGGACAGCCCCTGGAACCCAGGCTCCAGGTCCACCACTATTACTCAGGATTCAGTAATACTTAGTCTGCCCCTGTGGACGCAGACACCAGGCTCTAGGCTAGCCACCAAGACAGGCTTCAAACACACCCTCTCACCATGTTGGCCCCCACAAACACAGGTACCAGCCTGGCACCCATGAACCTAGGCTCCAAACACAGGTACCAGCCTGGCACCCATGAACCTAGGCTCCAGGCCCACCCCCACAGTCCCAAGCATAAGGCCTACCTCCACAGACCTACCATCAGGCTTGTCCAAATGGGCCATAGCACCAGACTGGCCCCCACAGACTCATGATCAGGCCTATCCCCATGGATTCAGACAACTCTAGCACCAAGGCCAGCCCCCACAGTCTCAGGCTCAAGGCCTACCACAACAACAGGCTAGCTCCTATGGACCCAGACTCCTGGCCAAGCCCAGTTAACTCCAGCACCAGGTCCTCCCCAATAGACCCAGGTTCCAGGTTTGCAACACAAACCCAAACAGAAGCCCAGCCCAGTGGACCCCAGCACCATATCAGCTATCATGGATTCAAGCTCCAAGTCTGCCCCTGCATCCCCAGACACCAGGCCCACCCATCTGCTAGACCCATGCATCAGAATCAAGCCCACCAATGGTTCCTACCAGCTGACCTTCCCAGAATCTCTGGACAGGCTAACTTGTGAAGGAATTTCACTCCTGAGGCCAGCATGCAAAGACTAGGAGAGGTTCCAGTTTCTTAAAAAGACACCAATGCAGGGCCAAAAGGATCACATAATCAGACAAATAGGACACCACCATAGGAAAAAAACAGCCCAACCAGCCCAAAAGAAATAGAGATCTGAAAACAGCCTGAGAAAGAATTCAAAATAATCATTTTTAAAGAAATTTGGTGAGCTATAAGAAAACAAAACTAAAAATCAGGAAAATATACATGAACAAAATGAGATAGAACAAAGAACGAGAAGCCATAAGAACCAAACAGAAATTCTGGAGCTGAAAAATACAATGACTAAATTGAAAAATTCCACAGAGAGCTTCAGTAGGAGGCTTGATCAAGCAGAAGAGAGAATCAGCAAGTTCTAGGATTTGCTGCTCATTTGAAATTATCCAGTCAGAGGACTAAACTTAAAAAAGTAAAGCCTACAGGAATTATGGGGCACCACTGTGGGTATCAATATATTCATTTTGAGGTCCCAGAAGAGGCAGGGGAAGAAAGATTATTTAAAGAAAAAAATGACAGAAATGTCCCTAATCTGGAGAGGGAAATGAGCATCCACATCCATGCAGCCCAAATACCTCCAAACATATTAGACATAAAGAGATCTTCAAAAAAGACCATTATAATAACATTATCAGAAGTCAAAGAATTTTGGAAGCAGCGATAGAAAAGTGATTTGCCACATACAAGGGAACCCCTACAACACAATCAGCAGATTTCTCAGCAGAAACCTTGCAGACCAAGAAAGTAGAATGATATATATATTCACAGTGCTGAAAGAAACTGCCAACCAATACTACCAGCAAAGCTGTCCTTCATTCCCATAGAAACATAGGCTGGAGATCATAATTACTGGACTGCTTTACAAGAAATGCTAAAGGAAGTTATTTAAATTGAAATGTCCTTTAATGAAGGGACACTAAGTAACAACATGGAAACTTAGAGAAGTATAAAACTCACAGTAAGTAGTCAAATTCAGATTACTATAATCCCATAATGGTGGTGTGTTAATAATATAACTAGTATAAAGGTTAAAAGACAAAAGTATTAAAAGATAACTACAGTAATATGTTAGTTGATATACCATGTATAAAATACATAAATTACGACATCAGTAACAAAAATGTAGGTGGAGGAGTTGAGTGTAGAAATTTTGCATGTGGTCAAACTTAAGTTGTTATCAGCTTAAAATAAACTTATTTTTTATGTGAGCCTCCTGGCAACCACAAAGCAAAAACCAACAGTATATACACAAAAAATAAGGAGGAATGAATCAAATTATACCACTTATTAACTGACTGGTAAAGGAATAGACAGATATTCATACACTGTAATGGTGGTAAATTGTTTTTAACTCCAGTATAAAAGTTAAAAGACAAAACTATTAAAAATAACTATAACTACAGAAATTTGTTATTGATACACAGTATGAAGAGATGTAAGTTCTAATATGAATGATATAAAGTTAAAGTGCAGAATTTTTGTACAGAGGTCAGGTTCTTACCAGCTTAAAATACAGTTATAAGATGTTTGATGTAATCCTCATGGTAACCACAAAGAAAAATCTGCAGTAGATATATAAAAGAGAAAAAGGGATCAATGCATGTCACTATAAAAAAGCATCAAATCACAAAGGGAGACAGCAAGAGAGGAAGAAAGGGAAAAAGGAACCACAAACAGAAAACAGTTAACAAAATGAACAATAGAAAGACCTTATCTCTGACTAATTACTTTAAATATAAATGGAATAAGTTTTTCAATCAAAAGACAGACTAGCTGAAGGGATTGAAAAACAAGATCCAACTATATGCTACCTACAAGAGACTGACTTTAATTTTAAGTACAGTACACACAAGTCTGAAGGTGAAAGGATGAAAAAAGATATCCCAAGCAAATGGTAACCAAAAGACAGCTTAGGCGGTTATACTTAGACAAAAATAGACTTTCAGTCAAAATCTGTCACAAGAGACAAGGTCACTATATAAATGATAAAGTGGTTAATTCATAAAGAGGCTATAATTATTATAAATGTATATGCACCTAACATCAGAGCAACTAATATATAAGGCAAATATTAGCAGACCTGAGGGAATAAATAAACAGCAATACAGTAATAGGAGGACCTTAAATGCCCCACTATCAACAATGGATAATTCATCCAGACAGAAAGTCAATAGGGAAGAATGGACTGAACAACACTACAGACCAAA